AGAAGGAAGCCCAAAAGCAGCCTTCTGACCAGGTCAAAATGGCCCTCAACATTAACAGTCCAAATTCAGAATTTCAAAGTCAGTGTTATTTGAGAAACTAATCCTGTAGTGAAGTTGGGTGTTACATTTCTGCCTTTTCGCTCTTTAAAACTCTTGCCTTGAGCTCTGGCCACTAAGCACAAAAGCAAAGAAATGGGTTTGGAGCTCTCACTTAACTAGTGGAAACTCAGCTGAACGATAATTAATAATAATGCACCAAACACCCATTTCTTCCCATAGATCACAACTTGCTAATAATGAAGATTTCAGTCAGTTTAACCTGATCTCTTAGGTATGTCTAGACTTGGCCAAATCCGTGAAGTCCAGAAATACTTGAGCTAGTCTAGTGCCAAAACCATTCTAGCTACAGGACTAAGGAGGAATTTTTGAGCAAGGAACAATTTTTGGGATAGATTAACTTTTTCATATCTTAGTGTGAGACTCTTTCTAAATCATAAAACATCCTGGGCAATTCTACAACGTCCTGGAGTGTGCCAGGAAGACATACCCGTAACTTCCCTGTGCTTTGGTGCTTGGGATATTGGCTTTGTATCTCACCAGTGAGCTTTGACTCGTCAGTTACAGGAAACATTTTGTGAACTGAGTGAAAAGAAGCTAGGATTTTTCCACCGCACTCAAGTTTTATAGATCACTAACCATAATCTGATATACTAGCAGCCAGCAGCCTGGTATTTCTGTTGGGCTTTTGTATTGCTTTGTGTTCAGTAACTCATATTACCTTCAAAAAACTAGTATTGAAAACAAACACACAGTGCTTGCAGAAGTTGTTACCAAAAAAAGGTAGCTGACAGCTATGTAGCCCGTAAAACATATTCTTCAAACACCTCTGCATTTTCTGCACTTCCCTCAAGACTTTTGTTGCCTGGTACATTTGTAATCTAGAAATTAAATAAAAAGTTTTTAAAATATAAGTAAATACATCAGTGCTCTTTGTTATCATTCCAGATCACGATCTGTGCTCTTGAAGACGTGTGTGTTAGACAGGAAACATTTTGTCCCCTCTAGCCCAACACCTCCTCCCACAGCTAACAACCATCAACTTGATTTCATCCCCTTTTGTAACTAAAATGCACACCTTGCCTCCACAGCGAATACCAGCATACAGATATCACGGGCCCTTACCAGTAAGAAGCTGCACACTTTGTTATCTTAGAAAGCATTAATTCTGATGAAAACCAGATTGGTATGGGATGTCCTAAACCTAGTACCCCACAACCACGGCAGGCAGGCTTACAAGACCCTTTTGAAACTCAGGAAGAGAAAAGCATGACTACAAAGAGAGACAGAAAGTGAAAGAAGATGAGAAAAACAATTATCAGCATAATTTGTAAGAGGCAATGTCATTGTGGGACTCATCAGTTTAAGGAACTAAAAGTTAACGTCTCAAAGCACCTTCAGCATTCATATTTTTATTACCGCTAGGCTTCTTGGACTGTCATTTTATACCATCATTCATCACTGGAAAATATGGTCTGATGTGCAAGCAATAAAATATTGACCAAAATCCCATAAAATGAGGACTCATTTCAATACGAGGACTTTTTTATAGTACTGTAAAAGGCTTGAGCAAATTTTAGTCCACTTCTGAACAGACTCATCATTTATCCAAAGGGGTGCGTTCTGCCTGACTCTGGACCACACTGTGAGGGCCTCTCCTTTCAGAGGAGGTCCTCATAGCACTCCTCCCATGGTCCTTTCAATGCTCCTTGCATTCATCCCTCAGCTGCCTTGTTCCTCCCCATGAGACACAGAGTCGCAGGGCTGCAAAGTATATTTTGCTTGGTTTCATACGCTTGTTGGTTAAAAAGGCAGCCAGTAAGGGGTTAAGCTGAAAGCACCGAGCTGCTGCCTCCCCAGCTGAGGGATTGATTTGATCATTCTTCAGGGATTCCCTCTTGTATGAGTCACTGCTCAGACAGACTCCCCACGCAAGGAGGCCAGGATAATGCCATTCCTCCAGAGACTACAACAGCTGAGGGCTAGCACTGAAGACAGAGAGCTTGGGACTCATGCTTGGAAAAACATTCAGCGGACCACAATGCACGAGGCAGACTTAAAGAAATTATTCAGACAGAAGAGGAAAAAAAAAAAAAAGGCAAACAAAAACTGTTCTCAAACTTTCTGCGTTAACCAATTAAGTATGCAGACTAGCATGAATTAGACGAGCTCCGGGAGACTGCCTTCTGGCTTGGGGACTGCCCCAGTGACGACTGAAGACATGAGCTCACGTAGTATAATATTTAAATTTTATATAAAAGATACGTTTTCTTTATGAGTGCAGTGACTCCTGTGATCTGCTACCCTGTAATAGCCGTGTTTGGCTGTAACCCACTAGGAACGTGATTAACATTTTGAATTCAAAAACGAAAGTAGTACCAGCAGCAAAACTAATGAATGCCTCCAGCTAATCACAAAAGTTCATAACCAGCTTTCTAAGAGAAAGAGAAACTCTGCTGGTGTTCCCTCTCTTGACCTACTTTCATAGACGTGCAAGAGCTGAAAGGGAAAGAAACACTGCCTGCTGATTTACAAAAGTGAAGGCTGGTGATGCTTGTTAAATACAGTGACTGCTCACAAATGGAGCCGTCTGCCACCAAGCCGAGGATGCACCGCGCTCGTTTGTTTCCAGCGCACCGAGCTGTGTGAGCTCGCAGCACACAGCTCATCACAGGAACCTGAGAAATCGCCCAGCCCACGTTAGCCAGCAGCTTTGCTCTTCGTGTGGCATTCCCAGGGACACAACTGCAGCTCCTGGAGATGCTGAGCGCTCTCGACGTTAAAGGCCTGGCCCCTGCAGCATACCTCCACGAGGCAGGCCTGCCCTGAAACCCCAACACACCTACCATGAGACTATTAAACCAGGCCGGACGGTTTCAGATCAGATCTCTCAATACTGACCCAATGACCTTGATCACTCCTCAATGATAGCAGCTCATCGACTGACTCCTGCAGCATCAGGAGTCCCAACCTGATGCCAGGGGGGAAGAGTGCAGGGGATCTCTGGTGGTGCTTTCACATAGAGGAGACACTCCTGCACTGGTTGTCCTGGTTTTGGCTGGGACAGAGTTAACTTTCTTCACAGGAGCTACTAAGAGGCTGTATTTCCAAAACCAGGACACTGGTCAATCCTGCCAACCCATGCACCGAAGGAGTTTACCCTGGGAGTTTTTCAGGGTGACAGACAAGGCCTTTTGATCGTTTTCTTTCTCATCAGCACACCCAGCGTGCCGCTGTACACTCCTTCATCTCTCACAACGTTCAAAAACATCGCTTATATAAATTATTTTCTATCTGCGTGCTGTCTTTGTGCAGCCTCAAATCCCTTTTGCTCGAGGGAGGTATCTGTCTGGTTAAGAAGTACAAGGCTGGCCCTGTTTTGCATTTTTGTAATTTAAGGCTACGCAGCGCACATCCTACTTTTGGTGTACTTAATACTCAGTGAGACGGTGTCCAAATCCAGACTGTGGTGCCTGCTGGTGGGCAAGCAGCATCACCATCCTAATCCTTTGGGATGCGACACTTTAAAATTTGTCCGACTCAATAAAGGAAGAGGAGAGAAAAGAGGTATGAAGGAAAGCACCCTTCAATGTGCTTCCTTCCTTCCTGTCATGAGGCAGATCAAGGACTTTGCTCCTGAGATGTCACACCTACCCCTTCTGTGCAGCAATGGGAGTTTAAATATAAAGCAGACAGTCACGTTCTTTCCCTCCCTCCATGCTACACAAACAGCAAGAGTTCAAGTTTTTTTTAACTGCAATACACATTTTTTTCCTTTTTTGTTAACTTTCTTAAGAAACAAAAAGTGTGCTCTGCTCATCTCACAGCCCGACCGCAGGCAGTGCGGCGCTTGGGGGTCGCAGGAACGGCACTCCTGGCTCTCGCTGAGAAGCCGGGGCATTGCCACTGCCCCACGCGCACTTCTGGTGACTTAAACCTCACCAACCCAGCACTCCACTGCAGAACTTCAGGGAGGTCTTCTGTTCTTCCCCCGAGCCCAAAGACGATGGCGTCGTTGCCTCCAGAGACCCCTGCTCACCCCGCCATCCCTTCCCGTGGCCCAGGTTCCTGCAGCACCAGTGGCAGCAGGCAGCCAGGAACCTCGGGGACACGGAGGGTTAAACGGGTGCAGCCTCAAAGCCAGGACTGGCAGCCTGAGGAGCGCCCAAGAAGGTTTAAAGTTCAAGGGGGGTTTCAGCCAGCAGCTGAGGAATCCGTAGCTTGTGCCAGCGCCACGGAAACCCTTTCCAAAACAAGACTCAAATCTACCCTCCACGATCTCATTTCAGAGCCTGACTTTGACTCACAGCTCCGCTCCCACCGCCTTTTCCCACGGGGGCATTCATGCGTGCTAGGCACTGTCACCCTGCGACCCACCGCTGCTGCAGACACCATCTGTTCCAGCCCCAGCTCCCATCCCGCGCCGCTGGCCCTGTTCAGCCTGCCCAAGGACCCTTCTCCATCCCACCACCGATGCACGCTGCAGCAGCAGCGCCGTGCGAGGGGGGAATGGGCGGCAGTCCCTCTCCAGCCCTCAAGAAATATCTCTTTTGAATGAACGTGTGTGCGCTGCAAGTCCTCCTCGGTCAGCGGACTGAAAAATGCCACCGGTCCCCACTGCCACACACATGCACATACACATCACCGGCAACACCACTCCCCTTTCCACAAATTACAGAGAGGTTTAATGGGATGCACCACCTTGCAGGTTTATGGGGACATGCTACTGGAGGTTTCGAAAAACTTTAACAGGTCCCACCCAGTCCAGCCGTGGTTTGCTACAAAAACAAATGCCCAACTTCGGCTTTCAACGTGGCTATTGTCTACCTGTAACTACACCTGCCACAGCGTGAAACCTTAGCATCAGGCATGGCTCAGATCACTTTCACAGCTTTGACCAGTGATATGGAAAACACATCGCATGCAGAAGAAAATGTTGTTACTCTATTTATGCTTTCATCATTTGGCTGAGATTTTAAAACAGGCAGGGGACAAAAAAAAGGCAGACCAGAGTCTAGACTGAAAAGACATACCTGGTGCTTTCTCCACAAAGATGACTTTGGAGTCTTGCAGAAAGTTATGGCCAGTCAGTACCATTTTTTTCCCTCCAGTAACAGGAAAGCTGTCAGTACTTTGCTTCTCCACCAGAGGCAGTTCTTGGGCAGATCTCTGAGCTGGAGAGTTATAAGGAAGATTTTAAAAAAAAAAAAAAAAGCAACCACAAACACACACACAAAAATAAGCAAATACTGCATTAGTAAGTAACTTAATGCTTATGCCTTGACCATAAATAGGGTTATCAAACATAGCAGCACAGACTCAAAAGGCTGACAAAGAACAAGCTGCTTTAAAACTCAGCTGGATCCGCACTACATCAAAAAGTATATTTTTATTGAAATTCATTTATTTAAAATAATTTTCTCTTATGTTATCTATCTTGTGTGTTTACACGACAAGATGACCATCCACGTCCAAAATGTGTTTCAGTCACCAAAGACTGTACTGTCAACTCTGCAAACTCTCTTGCAGCCGCAGCAGCCACGGGCCTTGCGATCCAGCAGAAGTTCACAGTTCAGAGAGCGTATTTCCACCAGCACCTGAGTGCCAAAGCACACGTGGATCCATTCAAACAGAATCTGGTGTTTTCGTGGCACATATTTTATCCCCCCCAACTGGGACACGGAGCAAGGATGGCTGTGCTTCAAGTGATGACGTGACATTTTATCCAGATTACACGGTTCCTCCTGCTGTCACATGTACTAAGAGATGCATCAAGTTTTTGGCACCAGCTTATTCCACATTCTGCACTGGAAATAACACCAGCACTTATTTTTTCTCCTGTTTTCCACTTCTTTCAGGAAGCACGTACCACGCTTTTGCTCTTTACACAACCCTCAAAACTGCACTTCACTGGTACAGATCCAAACGGCTTCATATTTAGCGGCTCCCCGAGCTTGGCACTTTTGTACAGAGCAGTTCAAGATGTACTTAAATTGTGCCTTATCGTGCTAGACAGCAACTGAACAGCTCTCACCAGCTTCCCCAGGAGCAGGATGAAACCATGACTCCCCACATTTTTTTGCTTTTCCTGTTAGCCCAGAACTTGCCCTTGAATAAGAAACAAAGGGGAAACTGTTCATCTCACACACATCCTCGGCAGAACAGGGGGCTTTATGCCAGTGTACCTGCCATAGGTGAGGAGGCTCTGCTGTTCCTCACAATAACACAGGCGGATCTCAGTGTAACTCCCCTTCCACTGCCAACGCTCACTTGTTTATTTAAATGACTGACTGTGAATGGGTGCTGCTGTAACGGCACCACCCTTTCCTACAACTTCTGCCTCTCTTGCAGACTCGGACTACCAAAGCGGCAGCAGTGCTACCCTGGGTGAAAGGATGGAGTACTGTCACTGGTTGAGACGTCTGTCACCAATGCCACTGCTTTTGCAAGAGGAATGCAGAGACAGTCCTTCCTGAAGCCTCTCTGTTAGCAATCCCTGAAAAAGCACCATGCCTCCAAAGACCAAATGCTGACATGCTCCAGGACCTGCCAGACATGCTGTGTGAGATTGCAGCCTGGCAACGACGCAGGGACAAGCGTGGACACAACCCTCCAGCATGCATCAGGCTAGGGATGCTCGAGCCTTCTCCCCACTCCCTCTGCTCCCCACCCCCAAAGCTCACCCCCACATACCTGCTGGACACTAAGTTACTCCCTACCCTATCAGCATCAGAAAGATCCGCTTTGTGGCATCCAACAAAACCTTAAAAAACTGTCTCGGTTCATCCAGCCGACCAAATCAGCCATGGGAGTTAGACTGGACTCAATTTCCACCACTTGTGCTGGAGTGTTAAAGGCACACAAAGCACACAGGTTCTAGTTTGCGTGTGGGAGGCTGACAAGGCTTACGAAGCAAGAACGATACGGATGTCTTTGGAGGGTGCCCCAGTGTATCTGATAAAAAGCAGTTTGTTCAATCAAAGGGACCCCAGCGCGGAAACCTGGTTTCTGGAGGTTTTCTGAAGCCGCAGGCAGCTTGTCAGCACTAGTACGCTGCTAGCTCTGCATCAAAGGGGCTGGGGTTTTGTTTGCTGGTTTTTGCTTTATGATGGAGAGGCAGAGAGTGAAATAGGACATGATAGCTGTTTTCCAAAACTCCTACAGCAGTTACCTGTATGATAGGGAGTCATCAAAAAAAAAAAAAAAAAAAAAGCCTTGTCACTCCCAGGCCTCCTATTAGCTTAAGTGCACACTACTTTTATTTGAAGTGCATTCTTTCGTACAGAAATCAATGCGCAAAGCTACATATTTTTTTCTAAAACATGGGTATTTTGTCTTCAGTATAAACCATGCGCTTCTGGAAAGCAGACGAAGGTTCACCAACGAGACAGGTAAAGCAAAAACAATGTACAGCATGTCAGTGGACAAAGACTCCGTGTGGGTGGTACAATATCCTGCAGGAGAAGGATGTTAGCTGCTACTTACAGCACTCGATAGGGTTGGAGGCTACTTGCAAGGAGAGAGTCCTGCCATTGGCCTGTGGGATATGAACCCTGAAGACCAGCCGCACACGCGTGTTCTTCCGACCGATGTCCGTCTCTCCTTTGCGCAGCTCAATGTCAGAGTTTCGGAGCTTCAATATCCCAGCACAGTCGATGCTATCCAAAAGGAAACACAGAGCGATTCAATTCACTTCAAGCACACTTCCAGAAGACAGGAGTGTGCAATATCTTCCCTCTCTCCTGTACATCCTTCCTAAAAACCTGAGTCAGGCACAACCCAATGACCAGGCTGAACACAGCAGGCTGCTAAGTGTAGCACTTGCACCTACAAGTCGCTAGGTTGGGGCTCTTTGTAGGAACAGGTAGTAGTTGCTGTTGAGCACACAAATTTAGGATGTTACTTCAGTTGCCAGAGGAAGAAAATCTAAAAGATCCTTCCTCTCCAAAACATCCTGTAAGGACGGTGCTTACAGATTAACCAAAGCCCAAAGAGATAGCGAGACTAGAAAAGTCCATGGGAAAAGACGGTAGTGCACACAGTGTTACCGACCCAGAAGGCAAGGTGACTTATGATTTCACTTGTTACTGCTAATTTGGAGAAAAATCTAGTATGATATTTATTCTAGGGCAAAGTCCTGAAAATGCTTATTAATGAGCACAGCTCTCCCTGAGGTCAGTTCCACTGTCAATGTGTTTGCATTTGAACGAGTTGGAAATATTCCCAAGCCAAGTGTTGAGCCGAAGCTCTGCATGAAAAAGCCTGAACTCAGAGAGCGCCCTCCACATTAGGGAAAAATGTGCTTTTTGTCAGATGGAACTATACTATTTCTGACCTCTCTTTTTTTTTTTTTAGTTTTAGTTTTCTCCTGAATGAGCTTACAAGTCAGGATTTTTGTCAAAGCAAATTTCAATAGAGGAAGTTCCCAGAACAAAAGACACACAAACATACGCTCTCAAAAACCCACGGCAAAAATACCTCTGCTTTGGCCACAACTACAAGGACTACACGGCAATTTCTTCTGGCTACTGGTCTCTGGCATGCATTTTATTACACTGAATACGCATAGTTTAATTCTATTTTGCATTCAAAGAGTTTCATTCCCGCTCCAGAAATCTGAAGCTCTGTTCTGCAGCGAACTGCAAACGAGAACTGTGGCAGCACAGTTTTGATCTACATCTTTTCTAAAGTATGAATTTCAGAATAACAAAAAGGCCCTTACTGACATGATCAAAGAAACTAATGAAAGTATTAAAGCTTCTCAACAATGCACATTAGCAGGTGAAGCCATAAGAATTACAAAATATTTGTACCCATGTCAAAATTCTGTGCAAAGATCCTTAAGATATGGAAGAAACAGCGTGCTTCTCAATATTGTCTCTCCTATAGCAACGCTTGTAAAGTAAATAACAATTACTTCAGAGCCAATAAAGTTCAGAGGAGAAAAAGCATTTAAATTCAGGCTTGTGAAGTCATGGACACTAAAATCTGAAGTCTACAGGAGTAGCTGAATGTGCAAAAGCTTAAACGTGCCGACGAGCTTCAGTGTTTCACTCCATCAAGGCCTGTACACACAACGTATGTATGAGAGAAATCCTTGGCTCCAAATCTCAATTCATTGTTAGGGCTCCACGAGGTTTTAGACTACCGTCGTGTAAGGCGCATATATGCCAAAGCATTGTTTGTGGTTCTTGAGAGCTCTACTAGGATCCGGCACACACGTCACAAAAACATTCTGCTTGGCTCCCCAACTGCAGAACTACCTCTGCTCGAGGGAGAAAGATGACTGAAACAGTAATAATGCTCCCAGATGGCCAAAAAATGTTAGTCAAAACTGATAAATGAAGGGACAAATAAACACTGTGTGGGTACAAACTGGTGAAATTTCAATAACCTCAGTGGAGTCATGCCAGCTTCCGACGACAGCAAATGGGGCCGATAATTTTGCAGGCTTGTCAGGACTTTCAACACAATGCTCTGACAGAGGACCTCAGGTCTTGAGTGATCACCCTCAGCCCAGCTGGCAATGCAGCTGAACACATTCTAGCTCTTCTGTTTACATGAGGCACTCCGGGGCATGTTGTACATGACGCTGCAAACCAGCTTCTAATAACCACGACGTGCAGAAGGTCTTCAGGTGTCATTAGGGCACGGAAAACTGGATAAATAACATGGAGTGAAACTGGGATTTTAGTGAGCATCCTGGGATTTTCCCGTGGTATTTGGTTTGGTGGGGTCAGGATTTCTTGCTTGCTTTCTGTCTGCCTACCTGCTTATCTTTCTGTCTCCCTATAAACACACACAAAGGTGCAAGCATCAGCATTTAAATATGAATATATTCACATTTATACACACGCTGTGAGATGTACACGCACGCGAGCACACACAAATTCCTCCCAAGGCAGACACTTCAGATGAGGGCTAGGATCACTTGAACGAGGTGGGCAGAGAGGATGGGATTCAATAATGTGGAGGGTCTCACGTACATCACATATACAGAGAGACAGCTGACCCTTTCTACATAATCCTATAACAAATAACGGACCTACGGGGCGCTTAATCATCACTCAGACTCCTACTAATGCAGAGATCCTTAGATATCCATGCCTGCTTTTCTGCAGAGGACTCAACTTCCCCCATTTCAATAACTCCTGTGTGTAAGGTGGATCACCTTTACTCCTCTTCTTAGTTTCAGAAGCTTTGCTTCTAAACAAATGCCACTGAAAATGCTGATTTTTATTACATAAGAAATAGAGTGGTTTTATTTGTCTCAAAATACCACTAGGGTACTTGGAAATGCTCTCTAAGAGTTTCCTTTGACATCCAAAGATAAATTTTAATAGGCCCTGTTCCTTGCGCTAGTGCGTATAGGAGCAAGAGGTGTCATATTTAGAAACTAAATGCAGGAGCTGAGGTAGGAGATATTTACAGCGTGGTAACTGAGACACTTATTTTAAATGGCAAATAAGCACATTGGCTGAAACTCTAGAATGAAAGCAATCAGTTGGCATAAATATTTGTGAAGTTCATTTTGTTGTTAAGCTTATTAGGGGTAATTTTTCCCAGCAGAGTTGTGAAAACCTACCATTACAAAGAGAACTTAAAAAAAAAAAAAAGAGAGAAAAAGGAAAACTGTGTACAAAACCAAACCAAAACAAAAAACCCAAAACCACACATAAGAAATCAAGTGGGACGACCAAGAGGAAACTGCGAGAAGCCAGGGTGCCTGAGCCTTACATTGCTCTCATGTTGTTCTCTGGAAGAAGTGGAATTTCCAGGACTTTGGTGTTGGAAAGTATTGTTTCGTGGCTGGTGGTGGAAACGGTCTTCCCGGTGATTCGATGAACCTGGTAGAAAGCATGGGGTCGCAGCAGGCGGTCATCTGCAGTCCCAATGAACAGCTGTAGTGTGAGCGGCTCGCTTTCTAAGTAACCATGGAGCTGGCAAGAGAACAGAAAACGCCCACTGAGCACCACGCACATAAACTGCGAGGAATCAATTAAATTTTTATAAGCAGGAGAGCCTAATTCAAGGAGAGAACTTGTGACAGGTGCTATGTGTTAAGTTCCCCCCTCCTATTTTTCCTGTAACATAATATTGGTACAATAAAAAGGTGCACTCAGAAAATGTCTCATTATCCTCAAGGACCCGAGGCACTTTAGATGGGGTGAGGTTTAAAATTCTGGCGTTCAACAAAAAACTGCAATGAAGTCAATGTTCCCTCCCGGTACTGAGGGTGGCAAAACCAACGGAGTTTGCAAGTGGAAAGGCCATGGCTCATTCATCTCTGAGCTTCCCCGGTCACCCCTTGTGCAGCAGCAGGCTGCTGCTCAGGACATGTCCCCTCATTAACTGGTTTTTATGCTGGTACATACCTCCTGGGAAAGCCTGGAGACAGATCACGTATATATGACTAGTAGCTCACCATGCCTGTCAAATTCTTGTTATAATCACACAAAAATCTCATTGAAGCTACCGAGACTGACTTGAACCTTGTCCATGTCGCAGTGACTGCTCTGATGACAACAGGGATTATTTCTGCCACGGGCTGGGGACGGAGCAGGAGCAGAGTCTGACCCCATCCCAACCAGCTCCTGAAGAAGCTACTCTGGGTTCACGCTGGTGCAAAGGAGACCCAGCTCCAACCTCAACACTGCTGTCCAACGCTGGGAAATGAGTCTCACAAAAACAGTTATCTAGCAGTAGTTAACAGCAAAGCCCCATCCCAAGGGAAGGGAGGATGCGGCAACCACAGGAGGGAGGAGCATGGGCAAGGTGGGCCGTCCAAGGAGATGTGCCATCAAAGAGCAAACCTCCTCACTTTGTTGTAGGTTTCATTTCCTCTGCGAATGGTTCAGGTGGGTTTGGGCATGAGTTATCCACCATCACTGCACCATCACTAAATCTGATAGGTCAAAATTAGACTGCTAATCACAGAATCACAGAACGGTTTGGGTTGGAAGGGGCCTTAGAGATCATCTAGTCCCACCCCCTGCCATGGGCAGGGACACCTCCCACTAGCCCAGGTTGCCCAAAGCCTCATCCAGCCTGGCCTTGAACCCCTCCAGGGATGGGGCATCCACAGCTTCTCTGGGCAACCTGGGCGAGCGCCTCACCACCCACACAGGAAAACATTTCTTCCTCAGATCTCATCTCAATCTCCCCTCTTTCAGCTTATACCCATTACCCCTTGTCCTATCACTACACCCTGTAATAAAGAGTGCCTCCCCATCTCTCCTGTAGCCCCTTTAGGTACTGGAAGGCTGCTGTTAGATCTCCCCAGAGCTTTCTGCTCTCCAGGCTGAACAATCATGACTTATGAGGAGGAACATTTTTAATTTATGGCGCATGCAAGTCCAAAGCTAAATAAAGCTGGAAGCAAGGGGTTAAAACCATATCAAACGTTGTTGATATTTGTGTTCTGCTTGCTTTCACTCTCCCTAAATCTTAAAAAGCCATTTGTGGCTTCATAGTAACATAAGACCTATCTCTCCAGGGATCTTGCCATCTGACAGTGGGAATGCTGTTAAGAACAAAGATCTTGAGTAAGTTTTGCTCCTTTGAGCCCCGAAAAATTCTGGTGAGTGCAAACACAGGCACAAAACCTCCCCACTGTTATCAAACGCACTGATGGCAACAGGAATGGATAACGGCAACGCTTCAGGAACCACGGTGACCAACGCGTGAGCAAGGAAGGACATTGTGCCTAAACACATCTTCTATCACATCACAGCGTTTTCATCCCACGCCTTGGTCAGAAGAGGCAAGAGGAAAACTGAAGTGCTTTCATTTGTTGGATTGCAGCGATTTTTATATCCTTACCCGAAGCACATGGATGCAGAGAAGACGTCGGGACAGGAGGAGGAGGCTCATTTCCAGCACTCCAGTGTTTTATCAGCTCCGCATTGCTGAGACACAAGGTGAAGGCAGCTCAGAGCCAGGGGGTTGCGATACGATACGCGGGGGTTTCTGTATCAGCGTTGTCAAACTGAAAACACGCTAGGGGCAGTTTGAAAATCTGTGGTATCGGCAAAATGATGGAGAGAGACAAGCAGAGCCAAGCCTGTGCACTGCCTTCTGTGGGGTGCTTTGGGCTGCACGTCTCGGTTCAGCCCCGCACGGAACACCTCCTACAACCCCTGACACCAACACGAACGCTACACTGCAAAAGGAGGGTTTGCCGGCTTTAACCCCCACCGGCGGAGATGTAGCCTGACCTGCCGGTGGGCAATTGCAGGCGTGCTCCGGGCACAGCTGGCAGCCCCAGGGAATGCACCGTCCTACTCACCACCACCGTGTCCCCCCTTGCTGCCACCCGCACAAGCGAGCAGGGCTGCCAGAGTGACCTGGATTCAGCCTGGGCTGATCTCACCCCGTCTCGGCATCTCCAGAGCCACGGCAGCAAAGCCGAGGTGACGGAGGAGACGCAGGGTATCGTGGTGTATTTCTGATCACGAGCGGCACGCAGGTTTGCAGAGGAGGAAAGTAAGACAGTGTGACAGACCAGCCGATTAAATTTCTGTGCATTACCCGTGGCCACTTCTCCAGCTCGTCATGGATGCTGCTTTTTATGGAGAGTGTAAAATTAAAACAAACACATATTGAATTACAAGGCCATTTAAAAGGTAAAAATAGACTAGCGAGTAACTCTAACCTCAATTCAGCAAAAGCAAAATCACACTCCGAGGCACCCATATGTTTTACTGAATCTGGGCAAAGGGGTCACCAAATGCTGGTCTTGCATTGGGTTCCGCTATTTCAAGCTTTATCTTTAAATCTGTGCTCGGCTGCTGCCCTGTCTTGTGACCTACTGCTGAGTCTCAGCTTGTGCTTTTCCCACAGGTTTCCTACCAGGAGGCAACTGAACACCCTCAGTCCTCAGCTTGGTGTACCTGCTCTCCTCCGAGAAGGTTTCACGTGCTGGAAAATAATAAGCTCTCAGATGCACGCTTTGCATTTTTGTTTTTTTAAGGCTTGTGATCGCTAAACTAAATTTATGTTTGTTTTTTTTAAAGGCCCTGTTGTAGAGCCCTGCTGGGCTTTGCTTTGGAATCATTACCCACAGTTAGTAACTTACTCCCTCTCAGTGACTTCTACACTGGAAGACAAGTAGGGTCTACAGTGCTGAACAAACGTGAGTTTTCAAGAGCTGGGAAATGTCAAAAACATCCAGAAAGACTAAGGTAGTCACTATACGGTTGATTTTGCTGCCCTCAAAAAAGGCAAAATCCTCACTCTCCCTTCACTGCAGGTTCTATTTCATATTCTGCAGTAGGAGGCATCCCATCTCCGGTATTTCCCTCCGAGTTTTACCCATTGCATCACATTATTTACTTTTATATTATGTCACATAATCATGGATGCCAACAGGAGCAATAAAAGAAAAACGATACAAGGATTAACATTTACAGAGGCACATACTGTGGGTGACTAATTTTAGATTATGCACCCAGCACACAGCTTCTGTGGCAGACAGCGCTGAGCTCTGAGAGTTTTTGACATGTTGCAGATGTCGGGAGAACGGGCAAGATTTTGCTTAACTCTCAGCTGGGCGCAGCGAGAATATTCTGCGGCTCCTTCAAAATACAGGAGAGCGTCACTACTGTCACATGGCAGTAAAAGCAGAGCCACAGTACTCCGGGCTGCCTGGTCAACAGGTAAAGGGAATATTGAACAAGTCAGACGTAAAAAGGGAAGAGGGAGAAGGGGGACTGAGTATTTTTCTTGGTTAGGAAAGATCTCGCGCATCCACATCTATGCATATTTTCCACGCATGCTCTGGAATACTGTACTCGCTGGTATAATGATTCTGTTTCCTGGCGTGCGACATGGGATGCATGCGTCAGACGCTCTATTTTTATCTTTTCTCTGTGTAACAGTGTCCGAAGCTCTTCCCTTAATAACTCAGCAGCTGAGTACGGGTGACAAAGGCTGCTCTGGGTACAGCATTCACAATAAAGGATGTGCCTTTCCTACCAAGCGTGCTTTGCTGGGCAATACATAGATCCAAGTGGAAAGAGCTCTACTTTCCCCTGCTGTGAAAGTGTAAAAAGGGTTTATTGCAAATAAGGATCACATGCACAATGTTCTGGAACAAGTTCTCCTTATAGAATCACAGAATGGTTTGGGTTGGAAAGTACCTTAGAGCCCATCCAGTTCCAACCCCTGCCGTGGGCAGGGACACCTGCTACTAGCCCAGGTAGCCCAAAGCCTCATCCTGCAAGACTCTCAAAAATCTATATTAATAGGAAGACAAGTAGTAATCATCCCATCATACATCGATAGTATCTAGAAGGGAAAATGATCAAGTGTGCCTTGATGTCATTAGCATTTCCAATGGAGAATATTCCCATTGAGGTCCTTGGGATGCCCACGTTCACAGAGTTTGAACAATTAGTCCCAGAAAGAGGTAGGAATCAAGGCAAAAGCAGGCTGTTAATGAATTATACTCATATTAATCTATAAAATATATTTTATCCGGTGCAAAATGAAAACACAAACATTAACCACAGCGTATCAATTAGCTAACAGCCAAGATAAATTTAATTATGTAACCACTGAGCCTAGTGTGACTTAAAGCACACTACCTGCAGTTATCGATATACACTCAGCAAAAATGCTCAGCTAACCTCATGTCCCACAACAAACAAATACAGCAGAGGCATCCTTGTGCCATTCCCTGTCGCTGTCTGGAATTTGAATGGTTTGCTTGAGAGATTAGTGGGCTGATTGCACATACTCTTGGAAAGGGAAGAAACGTTGCTTCTCTTTTGCCTGGTTTAGTACAAAGGAAAAATGCAGGCAACACTTAAGTGTGCAGATAAGACCTCTGTGGCCAGTGGTTTTGGTTTTGAAATGAAAGCAGATCATATTCTCTTGTTCTGAGCAACCACTGACTGCTCTTTTCCTTTTTGAGCAACACTGTTAAACGTATTTGAAC